CCACCAGGGCACCTCTAGAAATGAATAAAAACAAACCATCACAAAGCTAAGATGTTCAAAGCTGACCCTGAATAACTGAGGAATATAGCCATTTAAAACATCAAGAGCAATCTAATTCTTGCAGATTAACAATAAAAAACAAAACAAAAAACTAAATCCATTGCTGTTTAACTGATGCTGACCTCTGCAGGACAGAGTGGAACTGACCAGAGAGTTGCCAAGCCTGTGTCTTTACAGAAGTTGACTGCCTCACCTTTCTCCCTTGGAGCAGCTGGTGGGTTTGAACTACCTTTCAGTGAGCAGTTGAGTGCTTAACTTCTGCTGCACCATGGCTCCTCTGATGAACAATAGAACAGCCATTCGCGTTTCTTTGAATTCTGTCCTCAGATGGACTTTAGATTTATAACAACATAATATCTATGCAAGTTTCACCAGGACTGACAGTGCGCCTCCAGTGTAGTAGTGACTGTTTCCCCCCATTTTTCATCTCTAAAAGTCACTGGCTCGAACAAAATGGCATAAAATGGAGAGAATCTGACCTAATAATGATGTTTCTTGCCTTAAAAAAAGGGGTGGGGGGAAGAAATGAAGATGCAGGAGAAGCTCTAAAATGAACACTTTAAAACATTTTTGGGAATTATAACGATTTTAGTGATTGTCAAGTGTGTATTAAATGGGCAATACATATCTAAGTATAAATGAAAATGCTAGCTGGCTTCTCACCTTTTTTGCATATTAGAAAGCTAGGTAGGTAAGGAAATAGTTTTAAAATTTATTACATAAAATTGATAAATTTGGAAATAATAATAAAAGAGCATCTAATTTCCTAAGCAGGTGGGAACAGAAATGTACATCAGCAGTCGGCCTCAGTACATTTAGGAAAGAGTTCCTGGGAGAAGACTGTGGAGAAATGTGCTCCTTTGCGTGGCTTTTTGTCTGGGTTCTGTGAAAAAGAGAGGAAAAGGAAAGAACTTAGGGGAGGTTTCCCCTGCTCTGAGGAGTTTGAACTGCTCAAACTGTTCTCACTTTGAGAACAGTCCTTTGGAGAAGCCTATCTCTGCTGGTAGACAATGTCAGTTAATATGCAAATAGATAGAGCCTCTTGCAAGGGGATTGGTCAGTCTACTATGCAAATTGGGTGCATAAAATCTGCCCAGTAGGATTGAGCCACTTGCAGTGAGCTCTCCAGGGTGAGTTTTTAACATCTTAGCTTCTCAATTGATTTGTCTCATTTTGATAAAACAGAGCGAGAGATAGAGGGAGGGAACACCATCCCCCATTAAAGAAGGGTGTATGTGCTCTTGACTTGAGGGACCCTTCCAGACCTTGTCGGTATTCTTCCTAACACTGCCCCTATTCCTGTCCCTCCCATGCTAATCCTGATGCCATGTTACTTCCCTGATAAACATATAATTGTGGATATGGTCTGTGAGTTCTGGGTGGCCATTGCAATGAATACAGCAGAGAGTAGGGACAGCTGACGTGAGGATCGGTGAAAAGGTTGTCTGACCTCTCCCTCATCAGAATCAGCTTTGGACTAATGCCGATTCTTGTTCTCCCTGAAGTCAGACAAAGCCGAGGTAACCATGACCACATCCCACACATGGATCGATTATACCCAAAGGATGGTATTTCGTATCTTTCACTAAACTGGGGAAATGTCTTATCCTGTTCAACTTTTTTTTTTTTTTTTTTTTTCGGCATGCCTTTTTAAAACATTTTTTATAAGTGGACTTACATTGTATGAGTTCTGCTATTTTATCTTTAAAAAGAATTCATTTTGTTGTTGAGAACATATTTGGGGCTTCACACATTCATGGAAAAATGTCACTATCTTTTCATTCAACTTTTCCATGGACATTTTGAAACCCTCTGGTATGTACAGCAGTTCTAGTTTCTCTCTGTACCATGCAGGGACATTAAAGGCATTCTTTCAGTTGTCAAGCATTCTCATTCTACTATTCTGAGTGGTTGCTAAACGGTGAACATGAACTCACCGCTGTCCCCCGCCACCAAACTTCTTATCGAACCTTGAGTTGTGTTGGCAATTTGATCCGATACAGATAGACCTGAAAGAGCATAGTGCTCCAGGCCCACAATGGTCAGGCAAAACTACTGTTCGGTTTCAAGAAGACTTCAGGGAATAGTTTTGGTTTAAGGTTTAAAGATGATCTCAGGGCAACCGTTTCAGGGGTTCATCCAGTCCTTACGGCTCCTTGTTCAACTTTTAAAAATGAACTTATGTGAGAGGACTTCAAAAAATTCAGAGAAAAATGGAATTAAAAGACAATGGAATTTTTCCACAAGCTTTTTGAAGCCTCCTTCTATGAGAACAGAGATGGCTGGCTCCTCATCATGTCAACATTTAAATTATGCAGAACCAGCAAGTGCATAATTAAGAGGATTAGTGTCCAGCAAGACTTGAATAGTTAGAATTATGAATATTAATAAGATTATAATAAGAGAATGAGTCAAAATTATCTGTACTCCAGTTATACTGAAACACCCGTCTATGGCTGACAACATTGAGCGTGCACGTAAAATGATTCTGTCGTATAGACAAGTGACAGTGGATTATGTGGCAAATCATGTGCAAATTAGCCCTGGCTCTGCCTATGAAATAGTCGATGCCAGACTTGGGTTTCAAAAAGTTTGTGTGAGATGGGGACCGAAACAAATCACAGAAGAGCGTAAACAGAAGTTTTGGACATCTGCAAACAAAATTTGGACCGTTAATCATAGGAAGGTAAAATTTTCTTAAAAAAAGCTCCAACAAATTCTAACTGGTGATAAGACATATATGGCTTTATCACCAAGGAACAGACAGACCATTTATGGGAACAAGAAAGAAGTTTGCACAGAAAGAAACCCGATACTAATTAGGATCAGGGCTAGGATTAGTAGCCTGCTCTCTGACCTGCCATCCATGAATCCGGAGACGCCTCCAGCCTGCCGCCTGACTCATAGGACTTGCAAGCCTCCATGATCATGGGAAACGGTTCCTTCACTAGATCTATACCTACCAGGGGGCTTTAGAAAGTTCCTGGAAAAATTCCAGTATCTTTCAACTCCATTTTCCCACGAAAGTTTTGAAGTCCCTTCAAATTTAAAGTCACACTTCACTAGTGTTGCTCCTCTCTTGCGTAAGCTAGGTGGCATATCATAAGACTTGTCGGCCAGCCTCACATCACAGAATGCTCACATATTCAGAGCTGTAAACAGCTTCCTTCACTCTCTGAGTTTTCCGGTCACCACTGTGTTGGCCAGAAGCCCCAGAAAGTTCTGAGGCACCGAGCTACTATCCACAGTAGAGTCAAAGCCAGGCTGGCTTAGCTGAAACATTCAACACATCACACTCATAGTCTGATTGATGCCTTTCTATCAATTCTTCCTTAACATATCCCAACACCACTCATCACTCCTGTGTGTTTTATGTCGATTCCGACTCACAGTGACCCCATGTGACAGAAAAGAACCAACCCAGAGGGTCTCCAAAGATGCCATCTTTAAAGGTGCAGATCACCCGGTCTTTTCTTCTGCTGAGCCCAAGTGAGTTTGAACTGCCAACCTTTTGGTCAGCAGCTGAGCGATGTTTAATGCCTCCCCGGTTAGTTAAGCCGATTCCTACAACTGCAGTAGACTTCTGGATGTATCCTGGAAATTATTCTCTGCCCTTTTCTGATGTTTTTGTCTCTAAGACTAAATCAAAGCAAGTATGGACAAATGAGGGAGAATGTGACCTTTATGGCTAGTCTTTCAGCTTCAGTTCTCTTATCTGCAAAACCAGGGGCACTTCCGTTCAAAGGATTGTTGTAAAGGATCTAACTGAGCCTTATTCTGTACAGTGCTCGAAATCATGAGTGCCTTCTTTGCACTCTTGTGCTCTGTCATATTACAATGCTGTTGTTGTTGTTGTTAAGTGCTGTCAAGTCCTCAAGAAAGGCCCACCAACTGCCCTGCCACTGAGTTGATCCCTACTCCAGGTGACTTTTTAGGATGGAGAACTGCCTCAGACTGTTGGAAGCTGTCAGTCTCTATGAAAGCAGACTGCCACATCTTTCTCCTGCAGAGCAGCTGGTAGGTTTCAAACGTCAACCTTGCAGTTATCAGTCCAGTGCTTAACCCAGTGCATCACAGGTTTCCTTACAAGAAAGGCAACAACGTAGAAATGGAAGTTTTCAGTGCTCCGTCTACAGACATAGAATTCTCCACCTTGTGGAGTCTGGCTTTTGCCAGTTTCTCCACACACTTCTCAAAAGCTTCTCCTTACCAACATTCTGGCCCTTTGGGGTTTTTAGTGAAGGCCCAGATCTTCTACTGCCTCAGGGCCTTTGCACTGGCTTCCCCACCCCCACTTTCTTCACTCTAGCTGGCATGTGGATCTCAGTGTCCATGGCACATCCACAGATAGCTTTCCCAGAAGGCCCTGCTCCCTGAGGTGCATCCGGTCAGTGCCACAACACTCAGGACAGAACTGCTGAATGGGAGGATTGTAATCATTCATACCCTCTCCCCAGTGTCCTTTTCAGTTCTGTCTAAACATTTACCAGCCAGCTAGTTAACACATCCTTTAATTATATGTGGCTTTTATCAACTCCTAACTGAAAAAGTTGGTTTTTAAGTCACTGCTGAAAGATCAACCCATACCTTAAGTGAGGTTCTGTGAAGAAAGAAATGAAATTTGGTTCTGTGTTCTGACTTAAGAAGAATTTGTTAGGGAATGATTAGTATCGTTAGACAGTGTCCAGCAAAAAGGTTCTTTTTATACCATGACATTTCCTCCCCCGTCAAAAAAAGAAAGACATCCACTTTCAACTCACATCAACACACAGTCATGCTTGGCTTGAATGTTAGTCTGTCTTACTCTATGTGGACTCGTGGAGGTGATGGGAGGATGGTTTTGCCTTGTCCTGTCTCAAGTTCCAGGCTTCCTGGGTGGGCCACAACCATCATACAACATCAAGGCATAGCAGAGAAAAATTCTCACAGACTTTCATTACCTTTTCGTCTGAGTCCCCTGGCTGGCAGGTAATGACGCCGTCCCTGGATCCTCCGGCAAATGTCGCCTTACAGTTTGCGAGCCACTGTCATTAGAAAAAGAAATGCACACACAGGTTAGCTTTAGCATTAATGATGTCCCTGGACACATTTACATCCGTTCTGCTTGATCAAATTTATTAAGTCTCCAATCAACCCAGGAAAGAAGGAAAAGAGAAGAAGGGGGACAGGGAGGGAAAGAAAGAGAAACAATTCACTGCTACAGTGAAGATGTGGTGTGCTGCTTTGGATAAGCAATGGACTGCTAACCACAAGGTGAGTGGTTCAAATCCACCAGACGCTCCTCAGATACCCTATACAGGGTTGCTGAGTCACAACTGACTTGATGGCATTTAACAACAACAACATAACGACTTAATGAAAAAAATCACTTCTTTGGGCACAGTATTTCCAACAGCCTGGGCTGACTCTGTGACTCAATGTCCCACACTGGACATTCTCACAGTATCCCCAACTTTCTCATGATGTTTCCTAGACTACCAAAACTCAAACCCAAACCAAATGCCATTGAGTTGACTCTGACTCATAGCAAGCCTTTAGGACCAAGCAGAGCTGCTCCCAAGGATTTCTGAGGCTGTAAATCTTAATGACAGCAGAGCCTCAGCTTTCCTCTAAGGAGCAGTTGGTGTATTTGAACTGCCAACCTTGTGGTTAACAGCTCAAGCTTACCCCCCTGTGCCACCAGGGCTCCTACATAAACTATAGTACAGTGTAAACCTAACTTTCACATCCACTGAGAGTCCCAGGACTCCTACATAAACTACAGTACAGTGTAAACGCAACTTTCACATCCAGTGAGAGTCCCAGGACTCCTACATAAACTACAGTACAGTGTAAATGCAACTTTCACATCCACTGAGAGTCCCCAGAGAGCTGCATGACTTGCTTTATTATCATAGTCGCATTGTCGCGGTGGTCCTGGTCTGGAACTGAACCCGCAGCATCGCGGAGTTACGTTTACTTATTCTATTTTCAAGGCAACATCATGCTGTGGTTAAGAGTACGGACTTCTGAAACCCACAGACCTAGGCTTCAGTCCCACTCTTTCCGTCCAAGCTAATGGGGACAGTCATAGCTACTCGCAGGAGAGCAGGAGCACTAACTGAGACGATTTATACAAAACTCTTAGCAGATCGTTGGATGACATAAACCCCATCCGCAAGCCCAATGCTACTGAGTTGACTCAGGATGCACGATGACCCCACGTGTTCCGGAGTAGACCTGCGCTCTGTAGGATTTTTTTGGGCTCTTCAACAGAAGTCAAATCACCAGGCCTTTCTAATGAGATGCCACCACTCGCTGTGTGTCTTGGAACAGCCAACCTTTCCGTGAGTAGCCGAGTGCAGACTGTTTACGTCACTCAGGACAAGAACTCAGAAAATGACAACTGCTGTGAAGACGGTAATTGTCACATCCTTACAACAACCACACAAATGAATTATTATTATAACTGGAGATTAAAGGGGACAGCTAGCTAACTGAAGATCTTTAATTTTTCAAGTATTGAAGCTGTGATTTGAGCCCAAGTTAACCTGACTTCAAAACCCATGTTCTTTTTGTACTGCCTGGCATGTTATACTGAGCTCGATACATTGTACTGCATACAATTATTGTTCGTACTGAACCACTTGAACTCTCTGGGCCCCAAACTATCCATTTTTTTTGAAACCAGGGGGTTTAGGTGAAGGTAGTGTAACTTACATCTGTCACTAACATTTTACAATCTAACTTTATGATGAAAAAAAAAAACCCACCATAGAGAGTATGTACAATGGTCATGAGAAGGTGCAGGAAGGAGAAATAGCTACAGGCGAGGCTGAGAAGAAAAGAGAGGTGAGACCTCCCACAACCAACTTTTGGTTTGGCTAACACTGGCAGGAAGTAAATCTGTGAGAAAATACGAGTTGATAAAGTACACAGCCAGCAGAGGCCCACTTTTCATGATTTTTTGGTGCAAGACATTAAGGAGTTAAAAGTGAAAGCAGAGGATTCAAGCCTCAATGGTTCCAGTAGGTCTGGATTCCATCTACATTTTGAAATTCTGACATTTCCCCCCTTTTGATCAGGAATCACCTATAGACTGTGATCCAAATGTTGAGTAATGGTAGCCGGGCACCACCTAGTTTTTCTGGCCTCAGACAGGCCACCAAAAACTACTGCCTTGACGTAATCCTTAAACTTGAATCCCTGATAAAGCAAAACAAATCCCTGAAGTCACCTTTGAACCGAAACACAGCTTATCTTAATTACCAACATAGGTCTATTTTGAGCATTTTGCCCTTTTAGAGAATGAATGAGATCAAACTGACAACAGCAACACAAAACACAGAATGGGAAACTCCCGGGCCAGTGAGGTGAAGATGGCGGGGTGGTGGTGGGAAGACGTGGGAAGCTGAGTGATAATAGACGCACAATGGGAAGAATGCATCAAACTTCACTGAATTACACATCTGGAAACTGTTCAAATGGTGTATCTTGGGGTGTGCAGACACTCACCCAAATAAAAAATTAAGAAAAAACAATTAAGGAGCTGTGGGTTAAGCATTGGTCTGCTTAACGCAAGTTCGGTGATCTGGACCCACCAGTTGCTCCGCAGGAGAAAGATGAGGCAGTCTGCTTCCATAAAGATTTACAGCCTCCCCACCAAATAGTTTTCATCCTGTCCAGATGGGTCTGGTGACAGGAGCTGAGAATAACATTCTTATGATTCAATAGTGAGCAATTGTTATCACAAATAATTGCAACTGTCACAAATGTAAAAGAAGAATTTTTGTAACAAATACGGGGGAGTAGTTAATCTTACAGTCCAGGAACAGAAGACCCTAGGACCATCAAGGGAGAAGAGCACACGTGGAATGTGGAACTCTATCCAGAGAAGCAGCGACACCAGAGATGGAGGCAGAGATGAGGACATGGAGAGAGGGAGCAGCTGAGGACTCTAGACTCATGGGTAGAGAAAGGCTGTGTGCTGGCAGCCAGGAGGCAGGCTTGCAGAATGTGCCCTTTGGTTGTTTAAATGATTATATATTCCTGAGTGTTTTTGTGTACATCGCCTCTGCATTCCAACCCCCTCCCCACAAACAAACAAACAAACAAACAAACAAACAAACCAACAACAGAGGGAATAGAAGCAAATACTGTTGAATGATGATGCACGGAGGAGATTGTAATCATTGCAATGAAATGATGAGTGTAAAACTGATGTTCTCTCATGTAAACTATCACTCAATTCACAATAAGAACTTAAAAAAAAAAAAAAGATTTACAGCCTCAGAAAGCCCGTAGAGCAGTTCTCCTCTGTCCTATGGCTGTGAGGTGGAGTAGACTTGGTGGCAGCAGGTGTGGCTTTGTTAGTTTATCACTTAGGTAACAACACTAGGCGAGTCCATCCACCATGCAGCCAGCTCTACATCTGTAGCAGAGGTGAGAGGAAGTTGGTCTTGCATTCCCCACAGAGCATGTCTCAGGTTAACGAGATCACCTCCCAGACTCCTCCATATTGGGCTCACGGGTTCCAAGCGCACACCCACACATAGAAACATGAAGGCTTACTGAGAGAGTGGCGTCTTTTCTGGTGTTGTAGGTGTCCAAGTACTCTTGCAGTTCTAAAACGCTGAACTTGAGTTTGTTCAGGAGCCCACAGGAGAGGAGCTAAAGACAGGACAAGAATTTGTGTTAAAACCATGAGAGAGATACCAACGCAAAGGCATTAACACACAGAGAGAAGCAAGAAGTATATGAGGGAGTTTCAGAAAGTTTATGGAAAAATTTCCATTATCTTTGAATCCCATTTTTCCATGAACTTTCTCAAACCTTCCTTGTAGTTTTGAGTCATGCTAAGGGGTGCAGTGGTTTTCCTCTGAATAAGCTGTGAACTGTCAGCTGTGACCCTGATGCTAGCTTGCTAATGTAAGCATCCTATGAGACCCTCGAGTATCAAGTTCTCCCATCAGCAGCAGACAAGCCTTAACAAGTATCCCCGAGAAGATTCCATTAAGACCTGGTATCTATTCTATGCATGAACTCTACTGTCTGATACTACTCCAACTACCAAGTGTACAGACAACCTCCAAAGAGACTTCCAAAATGGACTTTGCATTTAGTCTACAATTCAAACCATTTAAAACAGAATAACATTCAACATTCTGTCCTTTATTACCAAATGGTCAACCACCCATCAGGTTCTTGGAAAGACTGACTTTTGAAAATATTTTTACAATCAAAGGACATTATCATTGGTTCTGAACATTGGTAACCACTCAGTAAATGTGCTGACTGGGTGCTATGCATTGGGGGGTGGGGGCTGGAGAGAAAAGTAACATAAACAAACCCCTGCTCTCAAAGAATGAGGCAGTCTTAGCCCTAAAGTCCTGGTTCAATTCTGGGTCAGAGACAATCTCCATCACCCTTTAAAATGCATCATTCCTAGTTGGAACCCAAGGGACAACCATTTGGGACCTGGGGTGGGGGTGCGGGAGATAGTGACACATGTCTCTGGAGACCAATCTGGTTGACCAGCCTGGCATCACAGGGCTTGGCCAGGTTGGTCCCAAATGGTTCTGAAATGCTATATTCCCAGTCATTAAGGTCACAGTTACCACAGAGGGCTGTCGAGGACGAGGAGGAGCACAGAGCTGGCCTTTTGTTGGTTCCTCTAAAAGGACCCTGCAGTGATGTGGGCTGCAACATGCAGTGATCACACTGCAGACCTGCAACCTCCAAGGGACACATCACTGCCCAGGGTTGCTCACACACACTGAGGTGTTATCAACACAACACACAACCCAAGGCCACTCGGAAGTCCTGCACCATCGGTGGGTGGGCTGCAGGGGAATGTAAACTCACAGTCTCAGCATCCACAAAAAGCGTGGGGCACTCGGAGCAGGAGGTCAGCATCTGCGAGGAGCTGACAAACTTGGACCCGATTCCCCGGAGGTTATCTCCCAGGTAACTGGCTGCATCACAGGTTAAGAAGCAAAACCTCTTCTGAATATTCTGGAAGGCAAAAAATACAGACCATTTGCAGAGGGCCAAGCATAACCTCAACATAGAAGAGAGAGCCGATTTCCTAATTTTTGTAAGAATATCAAACGAGTATGCGTCCTGTGGGCAGGAGGAGGTGACAGAGTGGACAAAGTCCATGCAGTTGTGGACTAAGCTTGCTTCTCTAGCGTCCTGTCCAAATGTGTGGATGCTCACAGAAGCGTTTTATCATTCCTGAGAGTACACACAGCAGATCAAACACCAATCCAACAGTATCTACATGGACAGTTTGGTGACACTAACGACATTCTAAGGAGCTCTGGTAGCTTAGTGGTTATGAATCAGGCTGTGAACCGCAAGGTCAGCAGTTCGAAACTACCAGGCATTCCACGGGAGAAAGATGAGGCTTTCTGCTCCCATAAAGATTTCCAGCCTCGGAAACCCTGTACAGGGTCTCTATGAGTCAGAACCGACTCCACAGCACATAACCACCACCACCAACCAATGACATTCTAGGAGTCTTGGCGCGGCGCTGAGGGTTAATGC